ACCTCTCTTTGCTGCCATTCGAAAGCCTGTATCAGCAAACATAATATCTGACAAAATGGAGGGAAACTCACAGAGAACAAGATGGACTATTCTGTTTCTTGAAAGTTAACTTTTAAAGCCTCCCTCTTATTTATTTTCACACAGCTAATGCCATCTGCTGGAAACAAAAAGATATTATTTTACAGTTCGGAGGACGCATAACACGTGGACCAAATTGCCACTGCAGCAAGTCTGTGCACACTTGAGGGAAAGCAAAGATTCAATGAGACTCCCCACATCTTTTCCCCTAACTTCCATACCATAGCTAAACAGACACATTATTTTGATTACAATTGCATACACAATGTGTTAGGCACTCTACAATCTATAAAAATCATTTCAATATATTAAAAATTATATAAAATCATTAACATGTAAAAAAGCATAGTTGGGAAAAGAATGCAACATACAAATTGAGCAGAATGTTGATAGAAACACATCTTGTTAGTGTTCTGTTTATGAGGAAGGACTCTAGGCTGAAATTTTCAAAGGAATCAAAAGTTGAATTTGGGCATCTAAATTGATCAGGCAGGCTTCTTTGAAAATCCAAGCAGAAGGGGCAGAAGAGTGAAGACAGAGAATGCCAGAAAGGTTTGAGGGAACAAAAATAAATGGGGAGGGGGGAGGAAAGGATAGATGGGGAGGGAGGAAAGAGATTTTGGAAGGAATGTCATAATTGAGCTTCAAAATGGTATGTAAGAGTATGTCTACACTAGAGATGTAAGTCAAACTATATTGGATTCATGCCCATCTAACCTTGTTGGGTCAGTGGTGTGTGTCCTCATAAAGAGTGCTTCTTCCAGCCTAAGAGGAGCAGTATGGGAAGCTGAAACCTAGTCTGTCTGCTCCACAGGTTGGGAGCCCAGCTGACCCCACAGGCTTCTCTGTTCCTTACAGGGATTGGGAGATCCCTGCTTGGGGCTTCTGACTTCCCTGTTCCCTGCTAGGAGTGAGCAGGAACAGCCCATGGATTCTCACCTTCCCATGCCCCAGCTCCCAGCCTAGACTGGGATCCATTCTGCCTCGGCTCCCAGATGTGAATAAAGTCCGGACACTCAGCTCTCCTGTGAAGTAGAGGTTAGCTAGACTCTAGCTCCCAGTTTTGTCAACTTTACAGCTCCGGCCGTGAAATTGACAAGCCAACATAAGCAACACGGGCTGTGTCTAGACTGCACTCCAAAAATGAGGAGTACAGGATCTGCTGAAAAAGTTCCCCGCTGTGGGCAGAAACGTGGCTACACCTTACTTTCATTTTCGACACTGAGCCTGATCGGCACAGCGTCGGAACATAAGTATACAAATGAAGCCCGGGATATTTAAATCCCAGGCTCATTTGCACTTCTGAAGTGCTTGATTTGCATCCCTCTGTTGGCAGAGGGATGCAGTCTAGACACAGCCACAGTGTCTACACAGGCACTGTGTCACCCTGACTATGACATCAGGCCAGTGCCTCTCAGAGGTGGAGTTATGATGGTGTAGTAGGGCACTTACATCAGTGGGAGAAAGGGCTGGTCTACACTACATAGCTAAGTGGACATAAGGCATCTTATATAGAACAAATTATGTCAGTGTTTACACTGCAGCCTAAGTGAATCTTTTTTCTGATTAAGGGTAGGTTTTCTTCAGCAGATTTTATTTGGTATTGTGCCAAACACTCTCCTTCCTCCTAATCACCCACTAAAGCTGGCAAACACATGTACCCAAGGCTAGGCCTGCAATTGACACTAGCTATGCAACAGGGGCAGGGAATAGGTGAGTCCAAAGTGCGTCTTTAGTGCTCATTTGGGATAGCTTGGCTCTACGCAGCTCCTAACAAAATCCTACAGGTCAATGCCACACTTTAGTTGACACGGCTACCCAAAGCTTATTAATAAACGTCTTATGGATGTATTGGTCCTTATTCTCTGAACATTAATAAACCCACAAATGTAGTTCTCATTATTTTATTTCTTACCATAGAGCCACTAATCCCAGTTTATCTTACTATATATTTTAGAAATGTATCTGTCTGTCTGTGAGTCCATTTGTTCAAGAATTCCTCCAAAACAATAAGAGCCAGGACCACCAAATTTGGTATGCAGCTTCCTCTTATCGTAACTTAAATCAAGATCAGGGTTTTGTTGTGCCAGGACAATGGGATGTCGGTGGAATGTGATTGTTTCACATAAAATGGAAGGGGAAGAGTGTGATAGCAAGGACTGTTATACTCATGTATAGCTGGGGAAGGGGGGTAGCAAGCACAGGGAACAGTTATACTCACAAATGACAACAGGGGGACAACAAGCATCCCAGAAAGCAGCCTCTGGCTGGCAGCACGGCCTTGTCACCCTGCCTATTGCAGGGAGTTTCTGATGGGTGCTGCACAGCCCCTACCCCTGAAGAGAAGACAGTGGGTGCACAACACAACCCTCCTCCACCACCCAGGACAGCCCCAGCAAGAAGGCAATGGGTAGGCTGCGTGGCCCGTCACCCTGGGCTGGCCCCAGGAAAAAGCTGCCCCATTCCCTTCTCTCAGCCCCCCAGGCCCTCTTCTAAGCCTATTTTCCAGACTTCTGCCCTGAGCCTCATACCCCTTCTGACTCTTCCACCCCTTACCCCCTTTCTAGAGTCCCATTCTGTACCCCCAACTCTGATTTCTGCACCCCTCCAAACTCCGTGTCCTGAGATCCTCCTCACCCACATTAATTCTAGACCCTGCCCCAAACTCCCACTCTTCTGCCTTGAGCCCCCACATCCCCAAGTCCCTGCCGTAACTCCTTCATCCCCCACACTCCCAGTCCCCTGCCCTAAAGAATCTGAGCAACACTGGGTAAATCTTCTAATACTTTATACTGAACAACTGAATTCATTGACATAAGAACAGCCATAGGGGGTCAAACCAATGGTCCAGCTAGTATATTGTCTCTGACAGTGGCTAGTGCCAGATGCTTCAAAGCAAATGAAGAGAATAGAGAAATTTCAAGGGACCCATCCTCTGTTTTCCAATCCCACCTTCTGGCAGTTGGAGGTGTAGAAACAACCAGAGCATAGGTTTGCATCCCTGATCATACAAATAGTTGAAGATTAGGGTTGGAAGAGACCTCAGATCATCTAGACCTACCCCCTGCTAAAAGCTGGACCAGCCCAAACTACGTCAGTTTGGCTAATAGCCATTATTGTCCATTAATTTATCTAATCCTTTTTCAAACCCAGTGATACTTTTGGCTTTCGCAAACACATACACACAGAGACAGGAGTGTGTGCGCACACACCACATAGATAGACAGGACAGTGTGTTGTGTGAAGTACTTGCTTTTGATTGTTTTAAACCCATCAGGTGCGTCTGGACTGGCAAGATTTTGCGCAACAGAGGCCGCTTTTGCGCAAAAATTTGCCAGCTGTCTACACTGGCCGCTTGAATTTGCACAACAGCACTGACGTTCTAATGTAAGAATTCAGTGCTTCTTGCGCAAGAGGGTCAGTGTAGACAGGCACCTTAATTTTTTGCGCAAGAAAGCCCGATGGCTAAAATAGCCATTGGAGCTTTCTTACGTAAAAGCGCGTTTATACTGGGCACAGATGCTTTTGTGCAAAAGCACTTTTTGCGCAAAAGCATCCGTGCCAATCTAGACGCTCTTTTGAGGAAATACTTTTAACGGAAAAACTTTTCCGTTAAAAGTATTTCTGCAAAATCATGCCAGTCTAGACACAGCCAGGGCTTTCTCTAAGCTACATTCCTTTTCTTGAAAAAGGGATGTAAATTAGACACTTCAAAATTGCAACTGAAGCCGGGATTTAAATTTCCCGCTCTTGATTTCCATAATGGCGGTCACAGAGTTTTTTCCGAAAGAAAAGTGGCTGTTTAGACAGGGCTTGATCGAAAATATCCCCCTCTCCCTTTTTTTAAAGGTCCTCTACGCATTTTTTCAGGAGTGTCAAAATACTATCAAGCTGGAGGACTTATTATTCTGACCCCTGTAACCCTCATTGTACGCGGAATAAGGGAAGTCGGAGGAAAAGTGCTCTATTTCAAAATCAGTGCTGTGTAAACTCTATTTTGAAATAAGCTATTTCGAAATAAGATACACAATTGACCTAGCTCAATTTGTATAGCCTATTTCGAGTTAAGTCCTGCAGCGTAGATGCAGCCTTGCAAGCCAGAGATAGTGACTCAGCCACACTCAGGGTGCTCTACACTGCACTCTTAGCTAGACACAAACTAAGCAATTTGAGCTACGCAAATAGCTTATTTTGAGTGCACTGCGAAGCAGCTTATTTCATTTGCAATAACCTGCCATCCCGACACACCCTAGCCTATTTCGAGTTAAGTCCTGCAGCGTAGATGCAGCCTTGCAAGCCAGAGATAGTGACTCAGCCACACTCAGGGTGCTCTACACTGCACTCTTAGCTAGACACAAACTAAGCAATTTGAGCTACGCAAATAGCTTATTTTGAGTGCACTGCGAAGCAGCTTATTTCATTTGCAATAACCTGCCATCCCGACACACCCCT